TCCCCCCCCCCCATCAACATGGTAGCGGAATTAAATGATAGACTACCCCAGGAGGGTACCAGCACCCCTGGAGAATCCCTCGCTGAGCATCCACGACCATGTTTCTCCACTTCTGAGCGTGGGTGCTCAGGCTGCCCCGCGTATTCTGGGGGGGGGGCAATATTCCGCTCAAGACTAAAACTGCTCGGGGCAAACGGAGCAGCAAGACCAAGGCGACCCCTGCCACGCTGTCCGTGAATTTCTGCAATATCAGGGGACTTCACTCTAACCTAAACGCCGTCCACTACCATCTCGAGACGGCGAGGCCGGCTCTGCTCTTTCTGACCGAGACGCAGGTGTCCTCTCCGGCTGATGTCTCGTATCTCTCCTGCCCGGGGTACAAACTGGAACACTCCTTTGTGCCTCGGGCTGGAGTTTGCGTTTACGTCAGAGAGGACATCTGTTCTCGACGCCTCGGCAGACTTGAAGGTTCGGACCTGTCCATCCTTTGGCTACGCGTAGACAGCGACGACCATCCGCGCGTCTACGGGTGCCTCTATAGGTCCCATAGCGGTAATGCCGAAACAGACCGACTCTTCGACCACGTCCAAATGGCTGCAGATTCGTTGCTACAGCAGATCCCCTCCGCAGAGATCGTGATCCTCGGCGACTTTAACGCCCATCACGCCGAATGGCTCGGTTCACGTTTAACCGATCATGCGGGGAGATCTGTTCATGATTTTGCCTTGGCATATGGTCTGACACAACTGGTTACTTCGCCTACGCGGATTCCAGATGTGGAGGATCATGCACCTTCCCTGTTGGACCTTCTGCTGACCTCTCACCCGGACGGATATCAGATTTCCGTTGACGCCCCTTTAGGCTCCTCGGACCATTGTCTTGTCCGGAGTGTGGTGCCACTCACGCTGAAATCGCGGTTGCATTCTGCAGGCTGCCGCCGTGTTTGGCACTATAGGTCAGCCGATTGGGATGGGATGCGGTCTTTCTTTGCATCCTACCCTTGGGGGCGGGTTTGCTTCTCGCCGGATGATCCCAACGTTGTTGCGGATTCTGTCGCTGATGTGGTACTTCAGTGTATGGAACTTTTTATTCCTTCCTCTGTGGTGCCCATTGGAGGCAAATCTCAGCCATGGTTTGGTCGCTCCTGTAAAATAGCATCATGCTATAAGCAGGAGTGCTACCGAGCCTGGGCTGACGCATCAGCGTCCAGGGATGTAAACACCAGCGCTCTAAAAAAGAAGTATAATTCCGCCTCTAGGTCCTTCAAAAGAGTCATTGCCAAGGCAAAGTCAGAGCACATAGGCAGAATTGGCGAGAGACTAGTTCGTCTTCCTTCTGGAACCCGTGCATTCTGGTCTCTCGCCAAGGCTGTCCAAGGGAATTTCTGTCAGCCATCTCTTCCATCTCTGCACAGGGAGGACGACTCACTGGCCCACACCGCAAAGGAGAAAGCCGATCTTCTAGGCTCTTTCTTTGCGTCTAACTCGACTCTCGATGACGGGGGGAGTACGCCGCCGACCATCCCGCGGTGTGAGTGCTCCATGCCGGAAGTGCAGTTCACTCAGCGCTCGGTTCGCAAAGCACTCCTCTCCCTGGACATCCATAAGTCGAGTGGGCCTGATGGAATCCCCCCCAATTGTGCTGAGGACGTGTGCTCCAGAGTTGGCACCGGTTTTAACGCGTCTTTTCCGGTACTCCTACTCCCTAGGCGTAGTCCCAAAATCATGGAAGACGGCTTTCGTCCACCCGATCCCTAAAAAAGGCGACCGCTCAGACCCGTCCAACTACCGGCCTATCGCCATCACCTCCTTGTTCTCCAAAACAATGGAGTCCATTGTAAACTGCCAGCTCATGAGGTACCTTGAGGATCACCAGCTGATTAGTGACCGCCAATACGGTTTTCGCCGTGGTAGGTCAGCTGGTGATCTTCTGGTCTACCTAACTCACAGATGGGCGGAGGCAGTAGAGTCCAAGGGGGAGGCATTGGCCGTTAGTTTGGACATTGCGAAGGCCTTCGATCGGGTTTGGCACAAAGCGCTTCTTTCGAAGCTCCCTTCCTATGGGCTTCCCGAGAAATTGTGCGATTGGATCACCAGTTTTCTTGCAGATCGGAGCATCAAGGTCGTTGTAGACGGTGCAAGCTCCGATTGCAAGCTTATTAATGCTGGTGTTCCACAGGGCTGCGTGCTATCGCCAACGCTGTTTCTTCTGCATATCAATGATATGTTGCAAACCCGTAGCATTCATTGCTATGCAGATGACAGCACTGGTGATGCTCTTTACACCGGCCGAGCCAATATTTCTCGGGAAAACGTCTCTGAGTGCTGGGACAAACTTGTGTCTGAAGTCGAGTCTCTGCTGGACAGAGTCTCGGATTGGGGGCGACTAAATCTAGTCCAGTTTAACCCCCAGAAGACACAAGTTTGCGCGTTAACCGCTAAAAAGAACCCCTTTGTCGTATCCCCTCAGTTTCAAGGCACTCCCCTTGTTGCCTCAGCCAGTATCGGAATCCTCGGCGTCGACATATCGAGTGACGTGCAGTTTCGTGGTCACTTGGAAGGGAAGGCCAAATTGGCCTCTAAAAAGCTTGGCGTGCTCAGCAGAGCGAGACAGTATTTCATGCCGGCACACCGCCTGCAACTTTACAAGGCGCAGGTTCGGCCGCTCATGGAATACTGTTCCCATCTCTGGGCTGGGGCTCCCCAGTACCAGCTCCTTCCACTTGACCGCATCCAGCGCAGAGCGGCTCGAATCGTTGACGACCGAGTGCTTTCCGATCGGCTCGATTCACTGGCGCTGCGAAGAGATGTTGCATCTCTTTGCGTATTTTATCGCATCTATCACGGGGAGTGCTCTGAGGAATTGTTCGGATTAATCCCAGCCGCCAAATTTCGTGAACGCACTACACGGCAAACGTCCCGATACCATCCACACCATCTGGATGCTTGGCGGTCCACCACTGTACGTTTCAAAAGGAGTTTTCTTCCGCGTACAACCTCTCTGTGGAATAATTTACCACCGGTGATTTTTCCGGACCGATACGACCTGGGGACCTTCAAGAAAAGAGCTTACTCCTTTCTAAAGGGCCGGCAACGCACCTGCAATTCCCCTGGTGTTGCGGTTGATCATGGGCGGCGGTAGTCACTTAACATCAGGTGAGCCACATGCTCGTTTGCCCCCTCTTCTATAAAAAAAAAAAAAAAAAAAAAAAAAAAAAAACGTTAAGTTGGAGAGGTCTCGTCTAATGAAGTCAACGCTCCGTCCCCCCTCGTGCTCTAATCCAGAATCCCGAAACCTTTCAGATCGAGTTACGTAACCGCTTTCAGTGCCTAGAAGATTGCAATGCAGTGGACGATATGAATAACAAGCTCGTGGAAACTGTCCATGCGGTCGGAGCTAAGTTCTGCAAGACCCGCCGCAGAAGAACAAAAAAACTCTCCGGTCACACTCTTAATCTTATGGCTGTTAGACGGGAGATGAGGCTGCAATCGTCAACAGGTTTGACAGCATAAAGGCAACTGAACAGACAGATCTGTAAATGCATGTGGCGAGACTTACGCAACTTTAATACTGCTCGTATTAAAGAAGCGATCGAGCGGAACCAGGGCACCAAAGTCTTCGCCAGAGATCTGTCTGCCAGAAAGAACCAACTGCCAAAGCTGAAGACTGAGTGTGGCAGCATCCTTTCCGGGACACCTGAGATTTTGAGTAAGATTGAGAGGTCCATGGGCAGCTATAGACATCATCGTTGGAGCCACACGTAAGTGTGAGTAACGATCCAAGAACAAGTCTTATCCGACACTATTCCGATTATATCCCGGACGTCAGTCTGAGCGAGATTAGAATGGTTCTCCAGCACCTTAAAAACGGCAGGGCCTCAGGCGAGGATGGAATTACAGCGGAGCTTCTGAAAGCGGGTGGAACACCGGTACTTAAAGTCCTTCAGAAGCTCTTCAATTCCGTCCTCCATGGTGGCACTACTCCGGAGGCGTGGAGCAGAAGTGCGATGGTCCTGTTCTTTAAGAAAGGCGACAATGCTCTCTCGAAGAACTACAGACACATTTTTAGAAGACCGAAGAGTACAATCTACTACTTTACCTTGCGTATGTGGACTACGATAAAGCCCGTCGATTTCGATTCCGTCGAAATTTGGGCGGTGCTACAGTCCCTTCAGCATGCCAAGTTGACTGTCGGTATTTCGAAGTGCTGAAGTGTTTATACAGTAGGGCTACCATGGCTATCCTAGTACAGAACCAGAGTAAGAAACCTATCTAACTGCAGAGTGGTGTAAGACACGGTGACGTTATATCCCTGAAACTCTTCACCGCTGCATTGGAAGACGTTTTCAAGCTACTAGACTGGAAAGGATAGGGTATTAACATCAATGGCGAGTAAATCACTCCCCTTCGATTTGCCGACGATATAGTCCTTATGGCAAAATCGCTGGAGGAGAAAGAGGACATATATACTATGATAGCACTATGCTTAATGACCTCAATGGTGTCTCCCAACGGATAGGTCTTTCTCTCCTAGGTCATCTTTATAAATATGTTAATTGTAATAATGTTCTGTTAATGATTAACTTTGGTATTACGTGCAGTCGCTGGCACAGGCATGTATACACTTTAATTAAGTACAAACTTTAATATTACTTTAATAAAGTTAAACGTAGGTGCTTACATCTTATTGTTGGTGACTGTACCTAACTACTTACTCAATATCAACTGTTGTTGTCTAGCATTTGATCGCGTCCGATAATTTATATTTATGTTCACATTTGTTAATATGTAGATAGTGTATTTGACTACATATTTATTCTTATTTTTACATTAGCTAACATTATTTTGTGTAAGATTATACTATGTAGTTGTTTGCTATTCCTAATAAAGAGGAAAAAAAACACTTAAGTGTGGCTCCAACGATGACGCGTACAGCTGCCCATAGAACCTCTCAATCTAACTCAAATCGTGTCGCTCAGTTCCGCTGCGGTGCAGTTCCACCTAACGCGGTCCTACCTTCACCTTCTTCATATCGCGAACTTCATAAGTCATATAATCATTTTTTTTTCTTGCCTGTTCTTGCTCGATCCTTTCCTCTTCCTAACACAACAAGGAAATAATAATCATATCCATTTCATCATTCATCTTGCTCAGAGGTTGCCTAGGTACTGAATATAGCGCCGTTGTAGTCCAAGTACGGTTTACCAAAAAAATACGCGTCGTGTCGCTCAGTTCCGCTGCGGTGCAATTCCTCCTAGTGCGGCCCTACCTTTATCAGAAAGATCCTGCTGCCCATCTTTTGCCTGTTTCCTTCTGTAGCCTCTTACAACACCCACGGGAAGATATGGGGTAGTGGATATTCTCAACCGCCACTACACTACAATGAACACATGTCTAGTCTATATGCCACAGATTCATTTACAATCAGGTGAACTGTGTGCCCATTTGTCAGCGGTTAATTATTAATAAAATAAAATATTGTGAATTGAATATTCCTTTAATAACCTTTCCCGCATGTTTTTAAGCATGTTTGGTGATTTTCAAATTCATTGCCAGAAGAGAGCAGATGACTGGAAACCCCAAAAAAAATCTAAACTTCCTGAAAGAGTTATAGTGATATATATATATATATATATATATATATATATATATATATATATATATATATATATATATATATATTGTATATGTATGTATATATAAAAAATCATAGAGATATATGGTACCCAGAGTTTCTCTGTCTACGCCCAGAGTAAATTAAGGGTATGTTCCGAAATACAACGCAGTGTATACACTGTGTTGGAAGATGTTTTCAAGCTACTGGACTGGAAAGAATACGGTATTAACATCAATGGCAAGTACATCACTTACCTTCGATTTGCCGACGATATAGTCCTTATGGCAGAATCGCTGGAGGACCTTAGCACTATGCTCAATGACCTCAATGGTGTCTCCCAACGGATAGGTCTTAAGATGAACATGGACAAAACAAAGATCATGTTCAATATCCATGTCACACCTATGCCGGTAGTTGTTGGGAGCACTATGCTCGAAGTTGTTGATGAGTACGTTTGCCTGGGACAAATAGTCCGACTAGGTAAGTCCAACTTCGACCGAGAGGTCTATCGACGAATTCAACTCGGTTGGGCAGCGTTCGGAAAATTACGACACATCTTTTCGTCACATATACCTCAAAACCTTAAAACTAAGTTGTACAACCAGTGCGTGTTGCTAGTGATGACATATGGAACTGAGACGGTCCTTCACTGCTGGCCGTATGAGGACGCTCAAGGTCGCTCAGCGAGCTATGGAGGGCTATGCTCGGAGTTTTTCTGCGTGATAGACTCAGAAATGAGGATATCCGCAGTTAAACCAGAGTAACCGACATAGCCCAACGGATTAGTAAGCTGAAGTGGCAATGGGCCGGCCATATAGCTCGAAGAACCGATAACCGATGGGGAAGAAAGCCCCCACTAGATGGAGTGACGACCTGGTAAGACGTGCAGGAAGTCGATGGATGCAGGTGGCTCCGTGCTTTGTGGCATTACTTGGGGAGGCCTATGTTCAGCAGTGGACTTGTGAAGAGCTGTAATGATGATGATGATGATGATGACCTTATTTTAAACCAGTCTGTATTATATGAATAAAATTGTGAAAATAATGAATGTTACTTTTTGAAATGTATTTTGTATTTGTGTATTTATTTAAGAGTTATGGGTAAATTTCACTTAATTATATAAAATCACTAACTACTTAAGTAATTACAGCTATATGAAATGGGCAAAATACTATGTAGAAACCTGCCTTTGATCTTATATATCTTTTACAACAGTTAACCAGCATCGGTATTCAGAAAATAATCTCAGTCAATATTAGAAGCTATAATTAAAAAAACAACATATGGAATACAAGGTAATAGCTTATACCAACAAAGAATGATTGACAGAGTGTTGACCACTTTTTCAGTGACTCCCAAATCACTATTATTTTGTTGACATCCACATACATATTTTTCTTCTGTAATAGTTTACTGCTGGATTTAAATCTTAATTTAAGTCCAACAGTAAACTTGCTTATTTTCTTATAAGTTGAACATTGTTTGGCGTGGTTTTGGACTCACGCAATTCATCTATCTATCATTGTTGATCTGAGTGTAATAGTACAAAATATAAAATACTGACCTGTATTTGCTTGTCAAGACCTCCAATATCTGAATATTGCTCTGTTGGTCTTTCATCTACTTCCATGGCCTTAACTCTGGCATCATACTCGGCTGGTAGTGTCTCCAAAATCAAATAAGAATCTTTGTTTACACCAACTAAGTCACCAGGTTTAAGTTTTTCAGCATCAACTAAACCAATGACTGGTAGGAAATATGTTTGACGCGTGGATGTTTTGATGACCGCACATTTACCTTTTCTCTGCGAATCCAAATCGACTACAGCGCCGTCTTCTTCTTCTTCTTGTGGGTCAACGTCTAGGAGTTCGATAACATTTGATACCAAGTAGGGTAGAGTTTTATTCACCTTAATCTTTTCTGTGTTTTCTTTAATTTTATCGTTTTGTGCTTGTAATTCATGAGTGATCCTCATGACTTCACTTTTCATGATCTTTATTTCATTATCAAGTAGCCTCGTACGGCTGATAATTTCATCTGTTGGCATACGAAGTACCTCCTCGCTTAGAGCTTCTTCACCGTCTTCCCATATTGATTTATCTTCAAGCGTTGTGGCCATTGTAATTATTGTTATTAAATATTAGCCGCTGATTTTAATGGAGCAGATTTACACTAAGAGTATTTTGTTATCGTTACAATGACATTAGCAAAAATGAATTGTCATTCCAGTAAGTTTAGGGTATGTTCCGAAATACAACGCAGTGTACTGTCCAATGCAAATGACATCATGAATCGACGCTATACTGGTGATTCGTTCCAAAACATTGGACAGTATATGAAGTCACACTTTTGCGTCATTTGGAAAAGTGTTGGCGATTATTTTGTCATTTTGTGCTCCAAAAATCATTATATCCTCCTAATGGATATACCATCAATTATTCTATAATTTTTTGTATTTGAATAAATAGAAACAAATTCTGGCATGCTTCATTCGGCAAACACACAATTAAAAATTGTTTTATTATGGCCGGATATCCGACACAATATGGCGGCGGCACGCTAGTACAATAAAGTGTCAAATGACACGTCATTTGCATTGGACAGTACACTGCGTTGTATTTCGGAACATACCCTTAATTTACTCTGGGCGTAGACAGAGAAACTCTGGGTACCATATATCTCTATGATTTTTTATATATACATACATACATACATATATATATGTATGTATATATAAAAAATCATAGATATACATACATACATACATATATATATATATGTATGTATATATAAAAAATCATAGAGATATATGGTACCCAGAGTTTCTCTGTCTACGCCCAGAGTAAATTAAGGGTATGTTCCGAAATACAACGCAGTGTACTGTCCAATGCAAATGACGTGTCATTTGACACTTTATTGTACTAGCGTGCCGCCGCCATATTGTGTCGGATATCCGGCCATAATAAAACAATTTTTAATTGTGTGTTTGCCGAATGAAGCATGCCAGAATTTGTTTCTATTTATTCAAATACAAAAAATTATAGAATAATTGATGGTATATCCATTAGGAGGATATAATGATTTTTGGAGCACAAAATGACAAAATAATCGCCAACACTTATCCAAATGACGCAAAAGTGTGACGTCATATACTGTCCAATGTTTTGGAACGAATCACCAGTATAGCGTCGATTCATGATGTCATTTGCATTGGACAGTACACTGCGTTGTATTTCGGAACATACCCTAAACTTACTGGAATGACAATTCATTTTTGCTAATGTCATTGTAACGATCACAAAATACTCTTAGTGTAAATCTGCTCCATTAAAATCAGCGGCTAATATTTAATAACAATAATTACAATGGCCACAACGCTTGAAGATAAATCAATATGGGAAGACGGTGAAGAAGCTCTAAGCGAGGAGGTACTTCGTATGCCAACAGATGAAATTATCAGCCGTACGAGGCTACTTGATAATGAAATAAAGATCATGAAAAGTGAAGTCATGAGGATCACTCATGAATTACAAGCACAAAACGATAAAATTAAAGAAAACACAGAAAAGATTAAGGTGAATAAAACTCTACCCTACTTGGTATCAAATGTTATCGAACTCCTAGACGTTGACCCACAAGAAGAAGAAGAAGACGGCGCTGTAGTCGATTTGGATTCGCAGAGAAAAGGTAAATGTGCGGTCATCAAAACATCCACGCGTCAAACATATTTCCTACCAGTCATTGGTTTAGTTGATGCTGAAAAACTTAAACCTGGTGACTTAGTTGGTGTAAACAAAGATTCTTATTTGATTTTGGAGACACTACCAGCCGAGTATGATGCCAGAGTTAAGGCCATGGAAGTAGATGAAAGACCAACAGAGCAATATTCAGATATTGGAGGTCTTGATAAGCAAATACAGGTCAGTATTTTATATTTTGTACTATTACACTCAGATCAACAATGATAGGTAGATGAATTGTGTGACTCCAAAAACCAAGCCAAACAATGTTCAACTTATAAGAAGATAAGCAAGTTTACTGTTGGACTTAAATTAAGATTTAAATCCAGTAGTAAACTATTACAGAAGAAAAATATTTATGTGGATGTCAACAAAATAATAGTGATTTGGGAGTCACTGAAAAAGTGGTCAACACTCTGTCAATCATTCTTTGTTGGTATAAGCTATTACCTTGTATTCCATATGTTGTTTTTTTAATTATAGCTTCTAATATTGACTGAGATTATTTTCTGAATACCGATGCTGGTTAACTGTTGTAAAAGATATATAAGATCAAAGGCAGGTTTCTACATAGTATTTTGCCCATTTCATATAGCTGTAATTACTTAAGTAGTTAGTGATTTTATATAATTAAGTGAAATTTACCCATAACTCTTAAATAAATACGCAACTACAAAATACATTTCAAAAAGTAACATTCATTATTTTCACAATTTTATTCATATAATACAGACTGGTTTAAAATAAGGTCATCATCATCATCATCATTACAGCTCTTCACAAGTCCACTGCTGAACATAGGCCTCTCCCAAGTAATGCCACAAAGCACGGTCCTGAGCCACCTGCATCCATCGACTTCCTGCATGTCTTACCAGGTCGTCACTCCATCTAGTGGGGGGTCGCCCTACACTACGCCTACCGGTACGAGGCTGCCTTCTTTCTTCCCCATCGGTTATCGGTGCTTCGAGCTATATGGCCGGCCCATTGCCACTTCAGCTTACTAATCCGTTGGGCTATGTCGGTTACTCTGGTTTAACTGCGGATATCCTCATTTCTGAGTCTATCACGCAGAAAAACTCCGAGCATAGCCCTCCATAGCTCGCTGAGCGACCTTGAGCATCCTCATATGGCCAGCAGTGAAGGACCGTCTCAGTTCCATATGTCATCACTGGCAACACGCACTGGTTGTACAACTTAGTTTTCAGGTTTTGAGGTATACGTGACGAGAAGATGTGTCGTAATTTTCCGAACGCTGCCCAACCGAGTTGAATTCGTCGATAGACCTCTCGGTCGAAGTTGGACTTACCTAGTCGGACTATTTGTCCCAGGCAAACGTACTCATCAACAACTTCGAGCATAGTGCTCCCAACAACTACCGGCATAGGTGTGACATGGATATTGAACATGATCTTTGTTTTGTCCATGTTCATCTTAAGACCTATCCGTTGGGAGACACCATTGAGGTCATTGAGCATAGTGCTAAGGTCCTCCAGCGATTCTGCCATAAGGACTATATCGTCGGCAAATCGAAGGTAAGTGATGTACTTGCCACTGATGTTAATACCGTATTCTTTCCAGTCCAGTAGCTTGAAAACATCTTCAACACAGTGGTGAAGAGTTTCGGGGATATAACGTCACCCTGTCTTACACCTCTCTGCAGTTGGATAGGTTTCGAACTCTGGTTCTGTACTCGGATAGCCATCGTAGCCCTACTGTACAAACACTTCAGCATTTCGATATACCGACAGTCAACTTGGCACCGCTGAAGCGACTGTAGCACCGCCCAAATTTTGACGGAATCAAATTCAAATTCATTTATTTGCCAGAATGTATGTGTACAATAAAGTATGATCTTAAATTATGAATAATGGCCCATTTATATTCTAACATTTTATATGGTGTGCAAATATTTAATTAGTATACATGCAAAAAAAATTTTTACAAGTGGGAATTCATAATGATTTCTTATATTTACGCGAACACTATACATTGATTAAAACTACTTTTACGGATTTTATCGCGTTTTATTTATATTAATTTTAATACCCGACGTTTCGGGTGCTTTCCAGCACCCATGGTCACGGGGGTCTGAGGTGACTGACGTCCCGATGTCAAAGTTAACCCGGAGTACCTTTGGCTTTTTAATTATTGTCTTTGGTCCGATCTACGCAGAATGAACTAACTGTATTTTGAAGTCTTTCAGTGGTATGATTGGGTTTAGTTTTAATTTTATTAATTATAGGATCCCAAGCAGGTGGGTTAAATACCCTCACGTATCATCCTTGGTAGGAATCGATGTTCTTTCGCGAGGATTTGTGGTCTATCAAATCTGATGTAATGGTTGGGGCCATCTAGAATATGATCGCAAACTGCAGACTTCCCGGAACGTTGATGCTTCACGTCAGCTATGTGTTCTTTTACGCGGGTTCTAATTGATCTCTTTGTTTGCCCTATATATGAGAGACCACAATCAAGCTTGTACACTCCTGCATCTTGTAGAGGAATATGACACTTGACGGATGGTAAGAACTGACTAATCTTCTTCAGTGGCTTGTAGAATGTTCTAATAGAAGGTCGCTTCAAGATGTAGCCAATCTTGTCTGTAAAATTAATATAAATAAAACGCGATAAAATCCGTAAAAGTAGTTTTAATCAAGTGGGAATTCAATTAAAATGTCACATTGTTTAATGGTTGTTCTTAAGTGTTAATGTCCATACTTTCATTTTGTTTGTAATTAATTAATTATTAGATATATATCAATATTACTGACTTCGGATTTATTTTCCACTAAAAGACATAAATTCGTTTAGATCGTAAAAACATTTTTTTTTTTAAAACGGGCCAAATTAGGAGTACCCTTAACCGACGAGCATGTATGCGTAGGTGTATGGATGTGAAGGAGGCAAGAGAGGTGTGTCAGGATCGTGCCAAATGGAAGTCTGTAGTCTCTGCCTACCCCTCTTGGTGACAGGCGTGAGTGTTTATGTATGTATTTTTCTTTTAACCATTGTATTAACTTTTTTTTTAAACGTGGTTAAAGGTAACTCTTTAAAGTCGTTGGGTATTTTGTTATACACCTTTATAGCATTTACGTAAGAGTTCCTTTCATACAATTTGAGCCTGCATTGAGGTAAGTATAATTTATGTTTATTTCTAGGAGCTACATTTCGTTCAGTTACATCTATTTGCCTTTCAAAGTGTTCAGGATGCTGTTTTACAAATATGCATATTTCTTTAATGTACAAGCATGTTAATGTTAAGATATTGTACTTTTTAAACAAGGGCTTACAGCTATCCGTATACCCTGCTCCATAGATTGCATGCACACTTTTTTTTTGTACTCTAAATACTTTTATTATATCTACTGAATTGCCCCAC